GAATTTCTTCGCAAATTTGGACATCTTCTGAGTGCGGACATGCTCCGAAACGCTGAACTTATCCTTGGCCGTGAAAAACAAGTTGCCGGGGATCTGTTTGAAGTCGGCCTTCACATATGTTTCGTCGTCCATGATGCAGCATTCAACTTTCGTCAGCATGTTGAGGTACAACTTCCTGGCACGGGTTTTGGCGGACTTGTTCTGCTTCTCGTCGCGATTAGGGGCCTTTTGTACCTTGAACGTTCGAAGCCCAGCCTTAGTTTTGGCCTTCTGGACAAAACTTCGGCTTAGGTGCAGCTTCTTAGCCACATCCCTAACGGAGGCGTTCGGATTTGGGTTGAAGGCCCCAACTACGCGGTTGTGATTTTTGGTGTTGTACGGAATAATTTTTCCTTCACTTCTGGGCTTCCGATCGGTGGTCAACCGTTCCTCGAACCGCTTAATCACTCGCGACACCGTGGAATTCGCGATTACCAACGTTTTAGCGATGGAACGATGTGAGAGATCCTTGTTCTCGTGATGAATGCGCAAGATTTTATCACGCACGAGCTGTTCTTTCGACTCCATTTCCGCGAGTTTTGATCACAGGACTTTAAAACTTGCAGGATGTAAATAATGCACTATGAACTAAATCCACCCAAATTTTCATTAAATTCAACCCAACGGTTAAAAAGTTAGAGCAATTTCATAGTGTGGCAATTTCATCGTGGACACCCTTTATTATGAGAAAAACTAAAATACATACATTCGTGACGGTATTCGGCAAAAATGTCGTATGACAGAGCCTGTCATATGACATTTTAGTTTGGTACTGTTATTTGATATCTTGTTTTGCAAGTGTCGGAAGCAAAAGCGGTCAATTAGCACAGAAAATGTGTCGACTACGGTGACCGCTTACAAGACTGATCACAATTACTTGTTTATAACATATTTATAACTGATTGTATTTGATGAAAACTTCCTAGATTTATATACAACATGTTTGCATATGTTATTTTTGGAAGCATGACTAGAACTGAAATATAGCTTATTAATAACATGTTATAAATAAGTTACAATCAAGATGTATTCATGTTTGCTCATGGTTCTAAAACTGACATATGAAAACATGTTGTATATAAGGCTAGGAAGTTTTTATCAAATACAATCAGTTATAAATGTGTTATAAACAGGTAATTGAGTCATGCGATACCGAATTATAACTTCAAGATAACAAGTGCCTGTCAGAAAGGTTGAATACTTCACAAACAACAATACACCGGGTTTAAAACAAGATGTTTTAAGCAATCAATATATAACTTATTTACAACTGGGATTTGTTTCATTTTTCATGAACGATGTTGCAAGTGTTACTTGGGATTTGACTTTCATTGGTACAGTGTTGGCAGGAAAAGTGATTTTTGGCATTTAATTCTAAACACCGCTCTTATTTTAGAGACGTTCTAGCACCGTACATCCTTCGACAAATTAGTTAGGCACTTCTTGGTCTATACTGTTACATGATTAGTTGCATCGTTCAACCAATTTTTTATCCCTAGGAATGAAAATGCAAAAAGTAGGTTTTCCCAAAGTAATTTCCAATCAAATTTCAAATGCAATGCGGAATGCCGGGTTACAACCAACCGTCGCCAAATGTTGCACAGTTGTTTAAGACACCAAATGGAACAAAATAATCATTGTTCTGATGATCCACCCTAGTATACATTCTTCGGCAAAGTTATGGCTCAGCTAATTTCAAGTAACTTTGCATAACAAAACTTTTTTGTATCTCTTGAATTGACCGATTTAGAGCAATTTTTCTTAATTGACTTAGGGTCCCAACAATAAGCTTTTTTTCTGAAGATGCATTTTTTGCCTGAATAAGCTTTTATACTGCATCTAAAGTTCGCTGGGGTGTCTTAAAAAAAAACTACAAGGGACAGCCCTATAAGGTTGTACGCAATGGGGACGTAGGACTACGTGTTCTTATATAATAAATATTAATTGTTAACTGCAGCAGGAGCTAGTTAGTTATTTATCTTTATTAAGCTCTGCTGGTACTCTTTAGTATGACACGCTTGACATATATGGCTCACAGCGATTCACGAAGAGCTACTGATTCCGATCAATAGCGGTGCGGCTTCTTCCTCCTTCTATGGATGCTCATGTGGGCTGGAGTTCGCTACTTGTAGGCAGCCTTTCGTTGTGTACTGGAGAACACCACCACTCACCACGCCGTGATTGAATAAACACCATTTGGTGAGACCGGATGGAATTCAGCTTTGAAATCTGTGTTAGGGAAATCGCTTTTCGCAGGCAATTGGTGATACTTTTAACTATCATAGCAACAGTTGCACATTCGTGCAATTATCAATAGTGACATTTTGAAAAAAAAAATGTCAAAGTCTTAAATTTAACAGATGCGTAGAAATATTCCTGATCGATTGGTGATGAAATTATAGATCTCCAGGGGCACCTGAGTTATTAACGTTCAACTTGATTGCGATTGAAATAAGTAAAATAGAAGTTTCCTCAACCGTTTTGCGACGAGTGTGTTTCTCGGGTAGCCTGAATTCGGCCATTTTAGCTCACGTCTAATTTTTCTAATTTGGAGTACCGTTAAACGGGGTATCTTTGATAGTGCGGGTAGCTTTGATATTCGAATTTAATAACTAAATTCACCTTCTGCACTATTTTCCAATTGAAAACATTGGTTGCATTTTGTAGCTTAGGGTATTACCTATGATGACGCATAGAGTTTTTATGAAGTTTGTGTTACATATGTCCAAATATCAGAAAAAAATAAATGTTCTTTTTTTTTCGCCTGTTTGAAAAGGCACCCAAACAATCACTTTCCAAATGTATTTCTTATAGAGCCATCGCAAAATTAGTGCTGTCTTCTTATTGCTTAAGATGATTCTGATTAAATATATATTCATAGTGTCATATTTCTTGAACTAGATTGTTTGAGTTTTACGCATATTTTTTCTATATTAATCGAGTATTATCAAAGTAACCCCAAAGCAAAAAACAGATGTTCGGCCACAAGATTAAAAAAACATGCAATAATTTCTGCTAAACATATTCCTAATGAATTGACTTTAGGCTCTTCAGTACTAGTTAAAAAAAAAAATAATTTGAAAAACATTTATTGTTGTACAAAATATTTCGAATACACTTCAAAAAACTATCAAAGTTACCCCGTTTCACGGAATAACGAATTACCGGAAAATTTTTTTAGCTCTGACAGGCGTATTTGCTTTTATAATTTTAAATAATATAAGAAGGAGAAGGTGATCTTTGTGGAGCAGGAAATGATTGCTCAGGAGGAACACCGGCAGGGATCTGGCTCATCTTGTCCTTCAAGAACTACGATATTCAATCGGTTCTGTGATGAGTGGACGTTTCCAACACACAAACGCTCTTGCAGTTTATAATTAAATAATCTTTAAGTAATATCAACATATCGCCGACGGAAGACCTTTCCGATAATTGTGCTAAATTAATCTTAGCGAATTTTATGAAGAATGTATAAATTTCTAATAGTTTCCTATCTCTGTCCCATGTACACTCCTCCCACCTTGAGCACTGCTCCAAGGAAGGTATAATTTGTTCTTCGGTTTTGTTCCCCAACAATAGGGTGAAAGCAGCTGCAGCATTTCTCCGGTAGCTGAAAAAAAAACAAAACAAACCCTTATAATTGGATCCGAAAGGGATGAGTGTAATAATAGATATGAAATTTGTATTTAATAAAGCCATTGCCAAAGCCAGCCTAGCCTCTCCGTTAACCGCAGCGGAGTGCAAACGGCGCAATTTTCCGGATAGAGAACAGAACATATCTTCCAAAATGCAAACTAGGGGAGAGCAGCAGTAAATTTATATTCCTAGCCGCCGCGGGGTGCAATCTATGACGAGCCAGGAATCAGGCTTTTATCGCTTTGAACATAAATTCAGTCGTCTGAGCTCCAGCAACAGCACCTTTAGCATACACACTTTTGAACCCACCGCCCAAATGCCAGCAACTGCTCGAGGAGGTGTGTTTGTTGTTTTTGACCCCCTCTTGCCCCCACCGGAATCCCAAAGGGAATCATCCCTTATGTACTTGCATTCTCGTGGAACAGATTTTCCATACATATGTAATGAGGAGGAAGCAGGTTGTGAATTTCAAGGAGGATGAAAGTTCTTTCCGGGAAAGTTTCAACAGTGATTTTCCGGGGCAAATCAAGACGATGTCGTCAGGTGGGACGTGCAATTCAATTTGAGTTAAAGAAAAGTTGAATTTAATTTTTTTGATCAAATAGAAAAAAATAAACTTTTCCACGTTGCTGAAGTAAAGCAACCAGCCTCAAGGTCTAGCTGTGGATGCAATTAGTTGTAAACGATTTTTCTATCATCGATGCATACCTCAAGCTGATTTCAAGGCAGCAATTTTGCTTTCAGGTACTGCTGAGCAATGGAACTTTTGCAATGGCACCAAAACCTGAAAATTGGCAAGAAGCAATCTTTCACTTTCGTAATAAGTCAAGACAAGCTAATGTGTGCCTAAAGAAGGATTACGTTTACCGATGTAACATTAACCCTAATGCAAACGAATCTATGTCCAAATGAACAAAAAACTAAACCTGCCAAACCTAAAACATTCGTGAAAGTAAATTAAGCCCAATGGAAAATTTTTAGCGTCACTTTCGTTGCGCCGATCACTGATCAACCAAATTAGTTATGCTTTTGGCACTTGTTTTGGGTTTAACAATGCAGCTGTAACCAACGAGTGGACGACCTTCACCTGAAGCAGCAGCAGCAGCAGAGAGATTCATTTCTTTCAACGAACCACGAAACTAAATGTTCGAAGACAGGCCGGTCGCGCCGTCGGAAATGGCAGTGGGATGAAAATAAACAGTCAAACGAAAATGAAAGTGCATTGGACCGAACACGGGTAGCAAATAGCGGAGAGAACTTGCGAAATTTTGCTCGATTTTGTTCGGTTGTGGTACGTGCACAATATTTTCGGTAGGGTTGGTGGACATGTGGGCACCATTATAAAACTACTTCGACCCGAATGGTAAGACATCATTCGCTTGTAGTCATCTCACTGGACCGTAATTCGTTTAAGCTAGCAACATCAAACATGAAGGTAAGTCAACTATTTCAATGCTGATCTGTTGACGCAATCGGGTTAATCCGTGCTCTTTCATTCCCAATTTGCAGGCGTTCGTTGTGTTGTCTATGGCTTTGGCCATTGCTTGCAGTGCGGCAGTTGATGATTCCTCCAGGATAGAAAAACGTGGACTCTGGGATGAGGGATATGGCGGATACAATTCCAATGGCTACGGAGGCCATCAAGAAGTACAGCACCAGACCATCACCAAGAATGTTCAAGTTCCGTACCCAGTTAAGGTTGAGAAGGAAGTGCCATATGAGGTGAAGGTTCCATACCCAGTTCATGTTGAGAAGCAGGTGCCATTCGTCGTGGAGAAGCAAGTGCCATTTGTTGTGGAGAAGAACGTTCCCTACAATGTTGATCGCCCTGTTCCATACCCAGTTGAGGTGAAAGTCCCGTTTATCCAGAAGGAATACATCAAAGTGCCAAAACCATACCCAGTTCATGTTGAGAAGGAAATTCCAGTGTACATCCACAAGCCAGTGTATATCAACAAGTACGTTCCAGTGACGTTTAAAGTTACGGAAAAGAAGCAGAAGAGTGGTGGATGGTTCTAAGTTCACAGACTCTCCTTAATAGCTTCCTAATAAAAACGCTTTATAAGTTATTGTTAATACAATTCCCTGCCTTTTAATTAAATTTACTTTTACATACAGCCAGTGATCTCTACTCGAGTTGTAAAGAGTTGACTAGAGCTCATTTATAAACTGTTTGGTGTGAGATTTGAAATTTAAATTTTATTAATATTTTTATTTTAAGGCTAATTGACTATTAGCGTAAATACCCGAATAGTTGTGCGTGCTCCTATAGAGGAGGGACTGAAATCATAGGCGCTAAGTTAAGTGGGCTTGGCTTTTTGGCTCTTCCAATAATTTTAAATAGAGGCAAAGTATCATTTTGGCCCTCCAATAATTTTCAAACATTTTTCCATTTTTTTTTTAAACTCCTTCTCATAAAGAGTATGTCTCTAGAAGCTGCTATTCCAATGCAAAATTTCAATCTTACCCTTATTTCAAATAACATTTTTGAATATCTTGTCCAACCACTGATCATGGATAACCGGAAGAATCGTGAATTGAGAACAGCCGAGAAATAATTGGGATTTATTTAGATTTAATTCTTTATTGATATATTTATTTAACTCATCGAAGAATTAGCAAAAAAGGATCTTTTCTTAAACTGTTCGAGACCCTACTTAATGACGGGTCTATGGATTTAAAATACTGTTGAATGATTTTCTATATACATAACTAGAAGAGATAATAGAGAGAATTTGTGGTCGTGACATAAACATGGATCCGGTTGGCCATGAGACCGTCCTCCTGAAGATCCTGATCATCCGTTAAAGTAGACCATCCACGAGACTGATCCTAGAGCTCCGTATATTTGGCGAAAACATTAGGAACTGTGGCATAAGAAAGAATTTGAGTCGTGACATAAACATGGCCTGCGTAGAAATATTTCTACGCAGCTGTTTAATTTAAGACTTGATCATTTATCAAAATCATTCCTAGTTGAGCATTCAGTCGGTTAACAACGTCCCGGTTTCAGTTGCGCGGCATCTAGTTTTTTTCGGTGTTTTTTTCCGCCCGAGCGGTTTTTTTCACCCCCCATTGGGTGCCCCAAGTGACCAGTGTCCAACAGAGGAAGTGGAATTCCATCGGCCGAGCCGCTTGGAGTTACCATCCAGCTTTAATTCATCCCGGTAATCCATCACCGGAGTTAACGGCGTCGTCAAGTCCATCATTTTTTCACGCCGTCGCGAGGGTGTGCAAGTGATAGTGAAGCGTGTCGTATCACCAGCTTGCTGACCCACCAACACCAACCATCACCACCGGATAGCAGCGTGGACCAACACCAACGCACCACGTGATAACAGCGTTTCCAAAAAAACGCTTTGTGCCGGTGTAGTTAAGTAGCGAATAAGTTTTATTTATTGCCCTTTTGTTTTAGTTTCCCCTTTCTCCCATCCCACGCAAATATTTTCTTCTTCTTCTTCTTTTTTCTCTTGTCCCTGTGTGTTCCCTGTGTGTAGTTGTTTTGTATCTATTGCGGTGGCAGTTGCCCCGCAATGGATGGTAATAGTGATGGCGGGGGGAATACCCTTCCTGCCCTTCCCACTGAAGACGAACTGTCCGACGTGGAAACGTCAGCCACGGTGAAGAAGTACACCGGAACCATCCCGAAGCGGCCCAGGCGAAAACGAGCACCGGAGCCCGTACCGCCTACCCCATCTCCTCCTACCCCGCCTAATCCATCGCCACCAACACCACCAGCACCGTCACCCCCCGCACCACCAAACCCGTTTCCCCCTACCCCACCTAATCCCTCTCCCCCCACACCGCCAAAACCGTCTCCCCCTACTCCGCCTAACCCCGCCAAGAAAACAAAAACTGCCCCCCGCCATAAGTCATACCCAGACGCCTCGACAGGCCCATGGGTTGTTTTTTTTCCGACCCAAACAAAAACCGCTTAACGTTAACCAGATCGAAAAAGATCTATTCAAACGTTTCTCGTCAGTGACCGACATTTTGAAGGTGAGGCCAGACAAACTGCGCGTCACTGTTGGTAACCGCAAGCAGGCGAATGAGATTGTTGCCTGCGAGCTTTTTACGTTAGAGTACCGCGTTTACATTCCCAGTCGTGACGTGGAAATCGAAGGAGTGGTCACCGAAGCGAGTTTGACCTGCGATGACTTCTTGAAGAGGGGGGTTGGTGTCTTCAAGAACCCCGTTCTTCCAGAAGTCAAGATTCTTGACTGCACCCAAATGCAGTCAGCATCCCTCGACGGGACAAAAAAAATCCATTCGCTGACTGACTCGTTTCGAGTGACTTTCTCCGGATCGACTCTGCCAGATTACGTCCGAATTGGGAGGGTTCGACTTCCTGTGCGGTTGTTTATACCAAGGGTGATGAACTGCACCAAGTGCAAACAATTAGGCCACACCGCCGCCTTCTGCGGCAACAAGCCACGATGCGATCAGTGCGGCGAGAAGCATGCGGAGGGTGCTTGTGGTGCTCCTCCTAAATGTGTTTATTGTTTGGCACCTCCGCATCCTCTCGCAGATTGCCCGAAGTATAAACAGCAAGGAAAAAAACTTGAACGGTCTCTGAAGGCGCGCTCTCAGCGTTCCTTTGCGGAGATCTTGAAGACTTTCAATCCTCCTCCCAAAATCACTCCGGAAAAAGAAAACAATAATCCGTTCAATCTTCTACCAGTTGACGAGGACGACACTGACTCAGAGGGCAATGACGGAAGTCCTTTTGTTTTCAAAGGTCCTTCAAGGAAGCGATCCAAGAATGACTCGCAGAAAACTAAAAAAACTGACTCCCAAGCCCACTTGGATAAATCAAGAGGTCACGGAAATAAACCGAAACCCAATCCACCGGGTTTTAAGCCTGTCGTTTTTGACAAAGAATTTCCGGGGCTTCCGGGAACATCTAAAACCCCAGATGTCCCAGTTTTGCAACCAGAACAGCAGAACGCCATGTTCACGCTTTCTGGAATTGTGGACAGCATTCTCGATCTGTTCAACATCACTGACCCTCTTCGGAGCATCATTAACATGATGCTTCCAATCGTGAAACCTTTTCTGAAGCAATTTGCTTCCAAGTGGCCCCTCCTTGCTTCATTCGTATCCTTCGATGGATAATTTTCCAAAAAATGATACGGTATCTCTCCTTCAATGGAATTGTAGAAGCATTTTACCAAAACTAGACATATTCAAATTTTTACTGCATAACATACACTGTGATGCGTTTGCTCTCTGCGAAACATGGCTCTCTCCAGATGTTAACCTTTCTCTTCACGACTACAACATTATTTGTCTCGATCGTGCAGATTCGTACGGTGGGGTGCTCCTAGGGGTCAACAAACAACACTCATTCTACAGAATCGACCTTCCTCCAGTGTCAGGTATTGAAATTGTCGCATGTCAGGTGAATATTAGAGGTAAAACCTTCAGTATTACCTCGTTATACATCCCTCCGAGAACGGCTGTTTCTCGGCGAGCGCTATCTGACATCTGCTCAGTGCTACCTGAGCCGCGGTTGATCTTAGGGGATTTTAATTCCCACGGTACAGGCTGGGGAGAGCTGTACGATGACAACCGCTCAACCATCATCTATGACCTATGCGACGATTTCAATATGACCATTCTAAACACCGGTGAAGTAACTCGAATAGCCAAACCTCCAGCAAGAGAGAGCAGACTAGACTTGTCACTCTGTTCGAACTCACTATCATTGGATTGCATGTGGGAGGTAATCCAAGACCCCTATGGTAGTGATCATTTGCCCATCAAAATTTCGATTTCCAACGGTTCATCTTCACAGTGTCCAATCAACATCGCGTACGATCTCACGAGAAACATCAATTGGGAAGAATAAGCGAACGCGGTCCGTGACGGTTCAGAATCGGTCGACGTTCTCTCTCCGTTGGATGAGTACTCCTTCCTATCGCGGCTCATAGTGGATTGCGCGCTTCAAGCACAAACGAAGCCTGTTCCTGGCACTACCATTCGCAAACGTCCTCCCACTGTGTGGTGGGACCAGGAATGCACCGACGTGAATAAAGAGAAGTCTACCGCGTTTAAACAGTTTCGTAAATACGGTTCCCGCGAATACTTTGAGCGGTATACGGAGCTAGAGGAAAAGTTTAAGAGCTTGGTCAGGGCCAAAAAACGCGGTTACTGGCGTCGGTTCGTCGAAGGGCTATCGCGAGAGACTTCCATGCAAACGCTCTGGAATGTCGGCAGGAGAATGCGTAACGCGGCATCGTCGGTCAACGAGGGCAAGGAGTACTCTAACAAGTGGATTTTCGACTTCGCGCGTAAGGTTTGTCCCGATTCGGTTCCGGTCCGATGCAACACTCGCGATCCGCCGCTGGAAAACGATGACATGGACTCCCCGTTTTCGATGGTAGAATTCTCAATTGCTCTTCTTTCATGCAATAACTCAGCTCCGGGAATTGATCGAATCAAGTTCAACCTGCTCAAGAACCTCCCAGAAGTCACAAAGAGGCGATTGTTGAACTTGTTCAATCGATTCCTTGAGCTCAACGTTGTTCCGGATGATTGGAGACAAGTGAGAGTTATCGCCATCCAGAAGCCCGGTAAACCCGCTTCGGATCATAATTCGTACCGTCCCATCGCGATGCTGTCGTGTATTCGGAAGCTGTTAGAAAAAATGATTCTTCTTCGTCTGGACAAGTGGGTCAAGGCGAATGGCTTACTCTCAGATACGCAATTTGGATTCCGTAGGGGCAAAGGAACGAACGACTGCCTTGCGTTGCTTTCAACTGAAATCCAATTAGCCTATGCTGAAAAACAGCAGATGGGTTCAGTTTTCTTGGACATTAAAGGGGCGTTTGATTTTGTTTTCATCGACATCCTTTCGGACAAACTCCATGCGAGTGGGCTTTCTCCTGTTTAATTTGTTGTCCGAGAAACGAATGAGCTTCTCTCATGGCAACTCGGAAATTGCACGAATCAGCTACATGGGTCTTCCACAAGGCTCATGTTTAAGTCCCCTCCTGTACAATTTCTATGTCAAAGACATTGATGAATGTTT